CTTATATCTCATTGACTGCCCTTATATCTCATTGACTGCCCTTATATCTCAGCAGCGGGTCGGCGTGAAGATTTTTGTATAAAGCAAAATCTTGACTTGACACTCAGGGAAGTTGATGAGCAAGGATTTGGAGCGGAATTGGGAGCTGTAGCTATGGAGTAAGAGTCTTTTTTTTTTTTTTAACCTGGAGCTGGTAACATTTCTTATCTCTTCGAGCTCTAAATAATAATTAATTAATTTTAAAAAGTAAAAAAATAAAATAATTTGTACTTTAATTTTTCAAAATTAATTTATTAAAAGTGATGCCCCTCTCTTATATCCACTATGTTGCCCCCACTCTACTAACATGAATGTTGCACCCCCTCCCCCACTCTACTTCCACATGTTTCCCCAGTCTTCTGCCAGCTATGGTGCTCCTCTCTTCTGCCAGCTATGGTGCTCCTCTCTTCTACCAGCTATGGTGCTCCTCTCTTCTACCAGCTATGGTGCTCCTCTCTTCTGCCAGCTATGGTGCTCCTCTCTTCTACCAGCTATGGTGCTCCTCTCTTCTGCCAGCTATGTTGCTCCTCTCTTCTGCCAGCTATTTTATCACATTCTCATTCCAGCTATATCCCCCCCCCCCAACCCACTCTCTTCTGGTACATGCATTTCTTATAATTAGTTAATAAGATGGGTACGTGACAATAAAATTTAAGAACATTTCTTTAAAAAGAACTCCCCTAACCACCTCTTAACGTGAACTCCGATCTGAGCTAACAAAAATGTGTCCGGAGCGAAGCTCAGCACAAAAGAGAAAAAAAACAACAAAAGAACAGTTCGCTCCAGATCCTTGTTGAGGAGTCTAGTCAACCTTTTTTTTTTTAGCGTCATTGGGCTACATTGGACATGGCTTTGTTTGTTCAGTTATTTGGTGTCATCTCATCTCTCATGAATCAGATTCCACTAACTCGGCTAGTTAAAAATTTTATGATAATCTGCTTGGCAATACAACATGTCATTGTCAATGCGCTTTTTAGCCATGGGTATTCTCGAATTACCATTTGGGAAATTTAAAAAAATTCAATTAATTCTAGGTGGAATTTTACATATTAATCCAGGTAGGAAATTTTAGTACATCAGAAATAAAATTAATGTTGCAACTGCGTTCGTAAAAACAGATAAGAAAACTAACTTTCTCTTCTGATGGATCTATTGATTACCAAACCAATCCATTGTCTCATTTTGTGTGGGTGGTCTGATAAAACAGATACTATTTAACCCAAACAGAAATGCATTTATTGACTATTGTTTAAGCGTTCCTTAAAAAAGAAAAATTAAATGATAATTTTGTTTTTGAAGGCATTCATGCAGGTGGGGACCCAAAAAATTGTTTTTTTCCCTTGTACCGGTCCATCATTTTGGCACTGAAATTCATTTGAGATGCAGACATTCCTCCTCTTGCATGACAGTCACTGTGATTGTTGTATCTGTCATCACGTAGTCCACAAACAGGACGTGTTGATGCTGTTGAATCAAACGTTCCGACAAGATTAATATGACACTTCAATTCAACTTTCCCCTTGTAACCATGAATCATGATTTAATCATATCCCCATGTTCTAGTGCCTTAAACCCAGCAGGCCTGGAAAATGGGGAGAGGGGCATGTTTCACTCTATTGTTGTACAAACAGGTTTTAGACTGGGGCGCTAATATTTCTCAAAGTCACTCGGTAGCTGTAAGGCTTGGGAATCATGATTGTGTGATTGATATAAGTTGTGGTATCTGATTGTTTGAAAGTTCAACTGGCCAGGTGAATGAGAGGAAGCCAGCCAGCCAGGTGTAGATCTAGGTGTGTTACTTAAGTTAGCGTGTCAGCGGCTGTGGAAAGGAGGGGGGAAATGATTGAGAGTGGGGTAGCGAAAGAGAAATGAAATAGATTGGCAGACTGATGTTTGTAAGCACTTTAAAGAAAGAACCCTATTATTACTATTAGGAAGGGGTTAACACAATTTAGTCCACTGTGCGAAGCTGCTTATTTTAATTTAAACGTTTTTAGTTAAGCTCACACAAGTACAAGGTCTTCATTTCGGTACAGAAATTCACTGATGAAATTATGAGTGGATGCGACACTGTTCCCGGTCAGTTGTCCGGTTGCTACCTTGCCAGATCATTTCAGGATAGTTCGTGCGGCCAAGTCCCTTCATTAATAAATCTCTCGAGCTATGAGAACAATGGGCTATTCTTAGCACCGATTATGCTGAATGAAATAAAAGCTGACACAAGAAAACACCTAGCACTGGGCTCTGCTTACCATTCGACCTTCTATGCAAGAAGGTTATAGACGAGTTTCCCTCTTGTGGTTTATGTGGACCAGGTTTAATGTAATGAAGGTAATTTTTCATCTAGATGACATCTAACCACAAGTTGACAGCTTCACCCACTCACGTATGCCCGGGACAAACCCACCAACATACTTTTAGTATTCTAACAACATTGGCTCCGGTTTTATAAATAACACATTAATTAAATGACATTTCTATAAGTATAAGATAATCAATTGTCTAAATTCGTGGTACTGGTTTACTCAAGAGTGCCAAGAGCCATGTACGTATATATATATATATACATATCAACATTTCTCCTTGTTATCCACTTAAGCTGAGGTAATTTTAATTTTTAAAAATATATTCAAGTTCTCAAAAACTTACCGACACCATTTTATTGAATCATATTTGATGTGGTACCAGTCACTTACCAAACGCCACACTATATTATGTATATGGTATTATGCTTTTTAAAAGTGATTAAAGTATCAGGGCAATGTCCAATGATTATGTATATTGGCCTATAAATGACACAATACCGCTAAACGTAGTGCAACCAATATTCATTGGACATTTCCCTGATAATTTCATAATTTTTTTTTAAAGATATTTAATTCTGAAGTTTCTTTTTCGGTGAACCGTGACGCTGACGTCAATACACGGTTGGCGACTTTCGTTGATCTCAGCAAGCCGACTCTATAATTCTATACTAGTTTGACTAGATCCATTGAGCAAAGTTGGCCACACATCCGGACCTCATGAGGACAAGGTGAGAAATGCGTTACGGTACAGGATGTGTGGTTTAGTGAAGGTTGGGCAGGGTCAAGGATTGAACGCGACGTCATTTGAATAGTACAGTGAGGGTGCTGAGGTGTAAGACGTTAGAAAAGTAGGTCAGAGCGGCATTGCTTTGGATCAGCTTTGGTAAAGGGGTATGGGTAATCTCAACGGAGTCACCGTGATCAGTCTGCAGGTCAGACCTAGAATAGCCAGGACTGAGAAAGTTGACTGAAGTCAGAGTTGGACAGACAGACACAATCACACCAGACTTGGAATCATTAATTAGAAAATGAATACAACCAGAAGACGCGCTTTACCAACTTTCACATCCATATCGAATCCGATGAAGATTTTAAGGGTTTACAAGCATTGCACGCTCATCGTTTCTACCAAAGCCATTCTGTACGCTCATCGTTCTTCTTCTTCTTCTTTATTTTAAGGGCCCACGATCAATGAATTGATCATTCTGGCTCCTATGTTTCAGAGGGGTTTGCGATGTTACTGTTCATGGGTTTCAATGGGATACTTCACTGGTTGCAAGGGCGACTCAGCAGTGGTGTTATGAACTGGGGGTTGGAATACAGGAGGCAATAGACACACTTGTATCTAGTGTAGCTGCCTCAACTGTTGCTTTTGGAAGCTTGTTCCAGTCCCCTATTGTCTTCGGCAGGAATGAGGAGCTCCTGTGCTTTGTTCTTGTTTTTACCAGCCGGAACTGTTTGTCGTGGCTTCGTCGCAGTCTGGGGGGAAGATGAACGAGTTTCTGTTTGATTCCGGAGCAGTGGACCAGCCCATTTGTTATCTTGTAAAACATGGTGAGCCTGGATAGTCGTCGTCGTTCTTCCAATGTAGACCAGCCCAGTGTTTCCAGCATGCTGCTAACGCTCGAGGTGCTTCTGTAGCGGTTCATGACAAAGCGCGCTGCCCGTCGCTGGACCGCCTCCAACCTATCGATGCTTTTCTGGGTAAATGGGTCCCAGACTGTAGAAGCGTACTCTAAAATAAGTCGGACAAAGGCTTTATAGGCTTTTTCTTTCACGCTTGAGTTGCCGATCTTCAGATTGCGCCTTAGGAACCCCAGGGTCTTGTTTGCCCGGTTGCACACACTGTTAATGTGCTCGTCCCAGCGGACCTCTCTTTGCCAAAGCCATTCTGTACGCTCACCGTCTCTACCAAGGCTATTCTGTTGCACGCATTTTGAAAAGCTCTATACTTTTGTTAAAATTTGACTTAATTTGTGACTAGCGTAGAGCGAGCATTTCAAAGGTGCATACGTTCATACCAGGTATTCCAAGTATGGTTCACCGTCCCAGAGGTTGTCGTTCTCTCTTCAATGTAAAGTTGTTATGAAACTAATACTTCAATCAGGACTGTGAACTTTTTTTTACGGTACGCAACGCTAATCTAAGCTGAGTATGAGATTTAGGCTCACGATTATTAATAAGAGGCGGTTAACCTAGAGATAAAACGGGCTAAAAAAAAGTCCAAGCCCAACAAACACATTAAATAAATGTGCATACGAAGAGAGTTGACCGATGTCTGTCCTCATCACCACCCTCACCCCAAGGAGGGTTGTTGCGTTCTAATCCATGATGACGTCAGCAACCAGACTCCGGGGAACGTTGTTTCATAATCCCTAACGTGACGTTGCTAAGGACTCAATTCAAGGGGAGGGCAATCGATGCGTTCATTCTTGTCATGTTTTATACAAGGCCATTATTGCCAGTCACGTTCGTCTGGGGGTAGAGATTTAATTGGACGTCACTGAAACCAATTTATGAGTCCCAGCGTGTAGACCCTACTTGTTTGTATGCTTCTCTATGTAGCAAGTGATCAATGAGGTTCAAAAAGTATAATGCCCAGGCATGTGAACATCGTACAGGGCAATGACACAATCAGGTAATACAAATTGGAAGGTCCCACTTTTAATCAATAAAATATCTTTCTAGTATAAATATGAAACACTTCTACACATACAATTGACACAATCCATATGAATTAAAAAAAAAAAAATCTGATTTATTTATTGAAAAGAGAATGGTGAGAGCTAATGTCTATGTGCTGATAGGTTAACAATGATGAAATGTGAGAGACATACAAAAGGCAGCGGTCATTAACAACCATTGATACAGAAAGACTTTCAAATGAAGGAGAATGACACTGCCAATGTAAAATGTAACATAACAAACTTGTTCTCTTTGTAAAATAACGTATTCTGTATTGGTTATCACAACATTCAGATCTTGGTACCTGGTACTTACATTATACATGCTAAAGTAATAACCATATATAATTTGATGACATGCTCGTTGCTTTTTAATATAGGAAACAACTTATACGTCTCTACTCTATTCATTCATTGAAAGTAAAATTGATTTTGAAAACAGAAGCATTTCATATTAAAAAAAACTAACTTTAAAAAAAAAAATTTTTCTAAAAAGAAGGAAATTTCTAATTGAAATGTTTTGTAAAAACAACATGAAAATGAATAGAGTAATCAAATGTCAGATAATTAAAATGAAGAAACACACTCTGGTCCCTCGATCACTCAGATGGTTTTTTGTAAGGAGTTGTATGTGATAACATAGATTATAAAAAGACAAAAAAGATAGAAAACATGAGTAACTATTACAACTAAATCCAGATTAACAAGCACCAATAAATATTCACAAGATCAATCTTTTAGGGAATGTTATATATAGAAAATGCATCGTAACAAGCTAACTGCTGATTCACAAAAAGATGTGTCAGTCATAGATCAAAGATGTGTCAGTCATAGATCAAAGGGTTTCCTCTAAAAATTTTGACAAATGTAAACTCAATTTCTTTTTAAATTTTATAAACAATTATCACACATATTTTGTGACAGATAAAAAAAAGTGTGAGAAATGTAAGCCTGAGGAAGTGAACTATTACTATTAGGATAAAGTTGGACACCAATAACACAGAATTTGGTGGTCTAAAAAAGAAGCAATGGGAATGGATCAATCCATTCAATGTAGAGTAATGAGAATAGTCCAAATTAAACATACAGCAAATTGAGTCAAATAACAGTCTCAGAAATGCAACAAACTAGAATGGACTAGATCAGTTTAAAATAGTGCTTGGTAAAAATTTAATTCTCATATTAGTATTACCCTTACTCAATATAAGATGAAGATCAACAACCAGTTAATGTTACACAATTTATTTAGGGGACTATTCCATAAATATGTAATTTCTATTTAATAGTTCTTGGTTTCTTATATATAGGTATTGGACTCTCTAAGCTCTACTAATGTTCAAATGGAGACATATACAAATAATTTTATATTAAATATATGTAAAATTTAACATGTTTTAATAAAAAACTATCAATCTAATACTAAATACATTTTATACTCGATAATAAATAATAGGAGTTTACTTGCTAGCCAGAGAATTGATTATATATTGAATAATGACACAGACATTAAATGCATGTAACAAAGTGCACCATGAAGAAATGGTGTTAAAAAAACTATTTTAAAAAGCTTTATTAAAAAGACAAAGTTGACAAATGCACTGTGGTCTACAGACAAGTCACAAGAGCCGAATTTAGAAATTTTAAATGCAGCAGCTCAGACACATAAATTCAAAAAGATAGTTTAATACTTGACAAAACAGGACTATATTATAAACTTATTGTAATTGTACAAGGCATCCATCCACAAGTAGTTCTTAAGAGTTCTGTTGCTCAAAGAAAACTTAAATTTGAAAAATACTTTTATGTAAATGATGCAATTAAGTTTGTGCTTTAATCCACATTTAGTAAGTAAATGAAGTTATATCACATTTGCAGGACTGAGACCATGGATAGACATGTCTGTTGGGTGAAAGCCACTAGTTCAATTTATATCACATTGTATGAAAACATCTTTCAAATCTATGTTATAAATCTCAATAGTTTTGAGAAAGAGATAGTTCAATCTAACTCTAATAGACGTATCAAGTTCTTTTATCACCAAAACAAGCCATTGATATCGTGTTGCATTATTTTTATTAGCAGTTTTTTCACAGGTAAATAAAAAAAATGTCCAATTTCCTGGTGCATACATAGATTCAAATAAGAGACTCTAGCTCAATATTAATTAGGTCAAAGACTGAACATGAAATAAAAAAAAAAACAAAAAAAAACACAACTAAATAATGTACCATTACTTTGAAGAGTCCAGTAATTAGTTATTCCGATTTATCAAAAGGATATGACTTGTCTCAAAAGTGTAATATTTTTGTTGGTTTCTTCATAAAAAAACAACAACACCTTTCTCACCATCATATCAATAATTACAATGTAAATAAATCCACAATAAGTTTCTAAGAGTTAATTTTCCTGTGGGTTACGAACAATGGTAACAGGACAGTGTGCATGGTGCACCACATACTCACTCACACTGCCTAACAAAGTACGACGTATTTTGCCAAGTCCACGAGTACCCATAACAATGGAAGTTGCATCTTCTTCCTTTGCAGCTTTGATAATGGCATCTCCAGGTTTATCCCCTTGCAAAGTAAGCAGCTTTGCAGGAACCTGAGAAACATCCAATGATGTGAAAAGTTAGTGGCATAACATTCAAGTTGAAATATACAGTTAAAGTCAATGCCAAAGTCTAGAGGGAGGGGTAGGGATTACAAGCACATTTTCATTTTGGGTGGGGTAAAGATTTCAAGCACATCACATTCTGTGAGGGCTAAGAATTACAAGCAAAACCACATTTTGCATAAAGTGTAATTATAGACACTCTACACAGTCCTTGAAAGAAACCAATTTGTTTACAAAACTACTTTTGCAATTGTTTCCCTTCCCTTACACCCATGTGTATTATTTGAGGCGTAGGGTGAAAGGGGCTGGTGTGTCAACAAGTTTTACTTCCAGCTGTATTAAGAACTATGCTTCATATACCAGTTATTGAGTCATATTAAATGTATACATTAGAAACCCAGGAAATGTGAGGTTTTTAAAAAACAATTTGTTGCTTTATGTGAGTGCTATTTATGATAATATACAACATTTAATGGTGAAGCCGATTTCAATATTTTGGTAGACAATGCGCCACACAATTATATTCATCTGTCAACAGCGCCAGACAACTAAGTCGATTATACATAGAGTTGCTGTATGCACATAGTATTAAATTAAGGATTGAAAAAACATGTAAAGCTTAAAGCAATACCTCTAAGACAGTAGATCGCTCTTACAATGTTAATCATGTGGAAGGAAGAAACAGAAACTAAACTTACATGTCTTGCCCTTAACGTGTTCATAAAGGTATCTGTCAAATTGCCAATTTCATCATTTCGCTTTTTCACAGCTGAACATATTGCATCCACATCAGCACCCCGACCAGCTAAAAAAATATTTTAATGGTATTAAGCCAATTTCAGAAATATTTCACACCAGATTTAGCAAACACTAAAACAGTATTTTATTTTATTTCTAGAAATTCCAAGAATTAAATTGCTGACTCTTGCTTTGAGAAACATTTAGATTAGTACATATTAAACATTATGCTCTGAGAGAAAGAAAACTCAGTTCAACTAATTGATTTCAAATAAAAATTTAATGATAATAGAAATAAATCCTATTAATCTAAGCCTAAGATGTGAATGCGTCTTTTCAAAGGATAAATTTTTAAAATTGTAAACACTTCGGGGTATTTCAAAACTTATATACAACTAAGAAATGAAAAACACATGACCAAAGTTTCAAAGTACCCAGTATAAAGAAAATATTAAAATATACTCACGCAGACCAATATCAATATTGTATTCAGCAACATGTACTAAAAGTACTTGGTCTCCATCTCTGTACATATTTCTTAAGTACCCTGAAAATTTATCAGGAATCATACCATAATCAGTTAGAATGTTATCAATTCTTTATTTTACTAAGACAAATTGTTATAAAGTATATCCACTCATAAGATTTCTATCTAGACACATAATATGAATAATTTATACAATTCCGCACACTGCCAGATTAGGTGCAGTGCCACTACTAGTTAGTAGTAACTCACGGAGCCTTTCTCAATTTAAATGAAATTTATTAAAATCAGTGGAACAGCAAATGTTTTTGGCTCTTTCCCATCGTCTTGATCCTTTGGGGCTCCATGACAGTGTATGTATAAATTTGCATCAGTTTTCTTATCTTATGACCTATTCCTATCCATTTCCATTTTTGTGGAATCACCAAGACTTGATGTTACGCTTTAATATGGATTCTATTCAGACAACTGTTACCAAAAGTTTGAAGTTGACGCCACTACCAACCTTTCATTGATGTTTAAAAAGAAGTCTAATAAGATAATGTATATAATAGAAGCCCAGCCAGGGTGCACAAAAGCTAAAGTTTTTTTGTGTGGCCAAATTGAGCCCTTGGAAGTGGAAATTATTATACATAGTCTCAACACACCTCACCCAGTCACTTCCTTTTAAATACATATTTGTAACAAATATTTATTTTCCACATAATCACATAGAAATAAAATGGACTTGCACTTCTAGACCACTTTTTCTTGGTTGGCTGGACCACTATAACTAGTATAAGTCATAATAAGTGGTTACGGCTAGGGCCTAAATTTAAATGTGACTAAGTCTAAGTCACTATAGATTATTGTCAATAGCTTTATTTACGCTTAAAAATCTCCTAGGCCCAAGTTAAGGCTATAACACCCTAACTTTACTAAACTGTGACTGTGAGTACTATGCCTAACCTGTTTAAAAGTTTCTATTAAATATATAGACCTAGACTTTCACTTTCATGGAGGTGAAAAAAAAATGTGAAAAGAATCAAACTATTCAAACTTAAGTAATTAATTTAAGTGGATTGGTTAAATTCATTAGTAATTTAGTCTAATCCAAATGTGTCCATAGTAAATAGTTACAATACGAATAATGTAGGTACATAAAGCGTTTTTTAAAAAAATGTCTGGGTCTACCAACATTGCCAACAAAGTCTGCTTGTAGTTAGTGTTAGTTAAGATTGTAAGTTCCCGAAATAAACAAGTACAAGTCAACATTATTTAGTTTAGAAAACTTACAGTCAAATGCAAATTGCGCTTGATCACTTCCATCAATGGCAAGGAGATCTTTTTTGGGCATGGTAAAAAAAATATTCTATTCTAACTAAACAAATTCACAGATATTTTGTTATGTAGGAGGGCAGCGGTAGATTAACGTTCACTGTAAATAGCAGAACTGCGCAACGTTAATAAGCGAACTATGAATAGCCCGCAACCTTGACTAAAGTCGGTCGGATCCGATGCTTGTTTTTAAATTGATGGCCAGATATTCAGTTTTCTATGAAGTTAATTATTTATTTAAAAGTAACTTACAAAGTTTTAAAATAATATTTTATTTTAAAAAAGAAACTTAGTTTAAAAAAAAATATAATTATGATTACTAATTTTAAAAAATAAATTAAATAAGCATTTTACTTTAAAACAAAGCCAATAATAGCCAATTTGGCAAGTTGTAAACTAGGAAACCTCTTACTTTCTACATAGCCTAGAAACAAAAATAAGGCTGTTTTGTGCTTGTACTGTAAAATAGTCATTTGAAAAAATAGTTTACAATAATTTAAAAGATGTTAGTTCATATTGAAAATATTTAAATTCCCAACAAACCAAGATATATATATTATTAATTATGAAATTTTAAGGCCTTAACCATACTCTATTAATATTATTATAGTATCATTATAATTATAATTTATATTATTTATTAATCAAATTATGATCAATAATTAAATTCGAAAACTATTACTTTTCTACGATGTGAAATCGCACATCTCTTAATATATAGGCCTATTCACCCATTGATACTGAAGTATACATTTATTATATCTTTTTTGAAGTGTGGGTTGGAGATAATCAATATAGGCCTATATTTAAACAAGTTAATTAAAGTTAAAAATGTGTCGTCCCCCCCCCCCCCTTTTTTTATCCTTCATTTTTTTTTATCAAGGGAGAAAACTGCAAATTAACTCTATAAGCATACTTTTTCTGCATTATTTACCATGTGTTTGAAGACAAAATTATTGTTCAAAATTACAAGACGACATTACTACCGGAGGCGTAATTAAGGATTAAACAGATAGTGCACTTGCCCACTGCACCTCAATGAGGTAGAATGGTGGCACCACATATCTACGAAATATTCAGTATGAAACTAAACTGAGATACGCAGGCCCGTCGACAGAAATTTCGGGCCCCTAGGCAGGGCTGTCACGCGCCCCCCCTCCCCCTCCCGGGGTCTGAGCCTCTAAACTATCTTTAGGCTTTATGAGTATGAGAATTAAAAAAAAAATTGACAGATCGTGTGGGCGTGTTCAAAATAGAGACCAGCACGGACCGAATTTA